CTCAGTATACCGCGAGCTGTAGCTCGCGGTATACTGAGCTTAGGGTAACTGGAGGACGCTAGTTTGTGTCCTCCCGTTACCCTAAGGAGAACTATGGGAAAAAACGCTGACCCCATAGTTCTCCTTTAAAGCGGAACTAAAGTGAATGTTACTCACCTCCTTTCCAGTGCATGCAAGGCTCCAGAGTACATGCAGAGGAAAAGGTGCTGGCAAGCAGGTAAGATGCTTATATTGCAGAAGATACCTACAGAGTCTCTTCTGCAATAGAATTCAATAGGGCAGCAATTTTGCTTTTGAACACTAACATTCCACTTTATGCTCAGCAGAGAAAAAAATCATGTCTCCCGCCCTGCCAAATGCAGTTGTGTGTGGTAGAGCTGTTTAAACCTATAAACTCGCTGCACAGAAATGTATTAAAGCGGACCTTTACCCATATCTTTAAAATAACAACAAACACACCTTTAGAAAATGTTTAGTAATGACAATCTACACACACATACTTCTAGAAAATTGCCGGTTTTGTATCCTTTGCATATCTTATTTCTCTTTTATTTCCCAGTCTTCTGACAGTGGCCATGTTAACTAAGGGCAGACTACTTGCTCTCCTATTACTTCCTGGATTTCTGGCACATGTGACTAGGACATGTGACTAGGACATGTGACTAGGACATCATCTCAGGGGAGGAAAAAGTCCTTTCTCTGAGATCTCATGAGATTACAGATGAGATTTCCCAGCAATGCTCTGCTGATGACAAGCCAATCCCATTGTGCATTGTGTTGGCAAACTGCAGTCTTTTGTAGTTTCAAAGCAGGAAGCGAATGCTCTGCAAGTGCCAGTATTGCAAAATCACAGCATTTTACATCTGACATGTCTCTGTTATTATTAATCATCATACTTAGAGGGATGCATTGGTAGAATTTTGTTTTTTGAGTGTAAATGTCCGCTTTAAGCTGCAAGCATTGGGATAATTATTAGTTATGTCCTATTTCTTTCTTCAAAATACAGGACAGTACATACAGGTCGTGCTGCGAAGGGATTAAAGCAATTAAAAAGCCCTCACTCTAATCAGTGCATAGCAGAGTAAAGCCTTCTTATAACAGAAGGTATTCACATGCGTCATTTCATCACATATCCCAAAAATAAAAGGATTAGTATTCATTTCTGGACAGTAGGCAGAATCATGCAAATCATTGCATTTCTCCCCTGTGGCCAGATGCACATCCAGAACCACTGGTTTATAATGCCAATATAGCATAATATTTTAGAGACATTTATTGCAAACTGCATTCAGCGGTTTCAGGCTATTTGGGCCTTATTAGTTCAATGTTTACCTTGTATGATTTTACTGTTCTGTTGGATTCAAAGCCCTATTTCATAGATGCCTTGGTTTTCATACACTGCCATTAAGAAGGCCAAAGGGCCGGAAACATCTGTATGCAGTGGTTCTGGATGCATATCTGGTCATCTGGAAAAGCAATGATTTTCATGACTCCAACCATTCTCCTGAAATGAGGAATAATGCCCTTATTTTTGGTATATGTGAAGGGATGACGTATGAATACCTTCTGTTCTAAGACAACTTTACTGTACTATACACTGATTAGAGTGAGGACTTTTAGATTGCTTAAAATACTAAGAGCAAATAATTATTATATCTTTTATCGTTACGTAAAACACAACAGTACAGCCATCACCGTGATCAGTAGTAACTTAGTATTTATAGATGGAACTAGTGTGCTGTAATGTGTTCTAGTTTGCAAGGATTTTATTATGGGCCCTAAAGAAACATTACACATTGAAATGCTGGTTTTCCAATTGCTCAGGATGATGTTTAACTATGAATTATAATTTCTAAAAACACTTTATTATATTTAATGGGAACATATGCAAAGCAGGACAGAAACACCATGTAGTCTGACAAATTTACTGTTCACCTTGCAGCTCCTTTTTGTATATTCCCCCTTTTAGTGGCCGGGGGCTACACTCTGCATGTTTTAGATGTACATTTGGGTATAAGATGTGCAACTTGTTGAAGTGACAGCATGTCAAAAAAATTATCAAATATATTTTTTTCGAATGAGTGGAGATATGGATGTTTTGATAGAAAGCAGGAGTAAAGGGATAGTAAAATCACAAACAATCAAAAATGTATTTATAAATTGCTTGCAATCATTCAGATTGTTATCTCTGTGTGTTTGTGTCTTTTGTGTAGGCGTTCCTGTTACCAGCCTGTGATGTCTCTGCCACAAAAAAGGTTGTAAAAGTTTATAGGAAATGGATCCTACAAGAGAAGCCTATTTTCATGGAGGAGCCGTCACAACAATCTGAAAATCACATGAATGTGCCAGTTTTTGAGTCTACAGTCTCAGAGCATGATGGCAAACCGGTATGAATAGAGGACTGGAAAGCACTATGGTTTTAATTGTTTCCCGGGTGTACAGGTTCTTTGATGTTTGAGTTCACTCTAGCTTTTTCTTTTCCTTTTCAATACTTTTTTTTTTTTTGGCTTCCACACTGTAATACTTTGTAAGAACATAAATCCTTCTCTCTGCTCATCTCTGCTCAGCTCAAGCTGTTGTGCAGGGAGGTGAACAAAGTGGCATTGTCAGTTAAAGAAGTTCTTTACATACTATCATGGTGATCACTTAATCAGCAACCATATTGATTTCCGATTGTTAATCTCGGAATTGCAACAGTGACAGAGCAATTTTTGGAACTCTGCACATGCTACTTACTTTACAACTGGAAGCTATATGCGCATTCTAACACTGCAGAGTACTGTACCTAAGAATGTTAATATACACACTAGAGCTGCAGCTAACGATTATTTTCAAAATCAATTAGTTAGCCGATTATTAAGTTCGATTAAACGGTTAATCGGATTAAAAAAAAATACATCTGGCAGCGGCGAACGTGAGGTGGGGAGAAGGTGCGGCGCGCAGCGTGTGTGGAGCCGTAAACAGGGCCAACCAATCAGAAGCCTGATTAATCGATGATTGAAAAAGTTGATTAGTTGTTGCAGCCCTAATACACACTGCACTCATCTAGGGGTTAATATTATTAGTTAAGGCAGGAAACGGCCTGGTTGAAATGTTCTCATTTAAGTATTGTCTTTCAAAGCAATAAATCTTACAGGATCATCTTTTCATAATTTTATAAACAATCCAAATGCCCGCAGAGAGTATGGTAATCTGAAGCTGGGGGGTCACTCATGAGATCCCCAAAATTATGGTAATTGGTTTTGCAATTATCGATCACAGGAGATTCTGGTTAATTATTGGCCCTTCTCCTGCCCTTGCTCTTTTCTATTGGCTGTCAAACTCAATGGATGGGGGACCACCTTATTTAAAGTCAACCTTTGTGGTGAGAAATATGGATAGTGCAATTGCTGTCCTCACCTTTTTGGGTGCTAGGTCCCCTGTTGTCACACTGTTTACTGACATGAATGAAGTATGCAGTGTTCTGTCATACTACATGCTTGTTCTGATTGTGAAATTGTTGGAGGCAGAGACAGAATTAGCATCTCTTTAGTAAAAGGGCCATAGTAGCAGCCTTCACATTTCTCTCTGTACAGATTTCTTCTATTCAAGTTAAAGAGAAGTCCACCTGAAAATAAATATCTGTTTATGTAGAGTTGGAATACTGACAATACTCTTTTGTAAAGGTGCATAGAATTCCTGCTGTATAAATCCACATGTTTGTAGTTCCTCCACTGGTCTTTTCCTCATAACTTCATTAGCCTCATGTTCAGGAATGCCTCATTTGCAACACTGTGGAAGCAGTATGTGGTGGTGGTGGTTGTCATTCCACATGAAAGGGATATTTGTGTTATGAGTAGATTCTGGTAAGGATACCTTCTGTTTCCTTAGAGGACTCCAGTTGTGACATTTCATGGCTCTGTTCATGGTCACCCTGGAGGTTTTTTTTAATTCTTACTGCATTCTCTATAGTATAAAATGCATTCAAATCCCAGAAAGACAACAGCACTCCCTCATAGTGGCTACAGCACGGGTAAAGACGTGAAAATTGAAATCTAATGATATGGCTGGAATACACCTGGGATACAAGAAACTGTTAGGGGGTTCAAAAGATGACTTGTGTTTAGTAGTCTTTTTTTTTACTAGTAAACTGTGTTCTAAGATTGACTGGAAGCTGAAGCTAGTATTCCTATCGGAATTTGTCCTACTGTTTTATAAGTGCGTGCAGCGGGGTGACAGAACAATTCATTTGTGTTGACATTTGTTAAAGGTCTCAGAGCCGAGTGGACACAAACGATCATCGAGCTGGGGGAGGACATATTCTTTCACCAGCGCTGTGAGTCGGGGATGTGTGTGTGAAGATGAGAACATTGATGTGAAGGCCGGAGATCAGGCTTCTTTACAGGTAATAAGCACAGAGAACTATAATTTCTTATAATGTTATATATGCAGACATTGTAGAGAGCCGTAATGCCCTGGATGGTAGAGTAACCTAAAGTGTATTTCCACTTTTGCAGGCAAATTTGAGAAATCCCCCATTATATGTTTGGGTTCCTATTCACATAGTGTACCGAAAAATAATTTTTCTAAAATATTTCTTAACTTTTACATGTCTCTGTGTAGCAGGTCTTTGGACAGACTGTAAGCTTCTCTGTACAGTTTCATAGTGACAGGAAATTCTGTCTGTCTCCAAAGAAAGACAAAGCTCCCTCTCATTAACATAGAATGATTCTAGGTCTTTAACCCTTTGTTATGACAGTAATCAAATCTAGTTTACAACTGTTAATGCGATCCGCCAGCATAGTACAGACAGGGTTAATTAGGTTAAAGATTAAAGTAACACTAAACTTAGGAGTTAAATCTTAAAATGCATTCCAGTACTATATAAAACTATAAACAAAAATGTATCTTATTTGTGTATCACTCAGCTGTAGATCCTCAAATCATCTCTGAATTGGTGCTGACACTGTCCTTCCTTCTGGAGGGTGGCTACTGAGACGCCACAAGCTGGAACGGATCCCAACATTGCTGTCGAGATCCACCCAGCTGCTGGATTGACAGCTGGCTCTGCCTATATAGAGGCAGAGCCAGCTGTACCCGCCCCCTCCCCCGTCAGTTCCGCCAGTCAGCGCTGGAGGATCGGACAGGGCAGGGAATCCCTGCAGGGCGCAGTGAGTAACAGTCAAGGCTCTCTGCAGGGAGATGATCAAGAAGTGAGCAAGCGCCGGTATGCGTTTGCTCACTTCCCGATCTACTGAGCCGACCTGTGACAGTTTCATTGTCACAGGTCGGCTCAGATTATGAGGTTGAGTGAAAATCACTTGCCTCATAATTCTCCTTTTAACCCTATTGAGAATCTTTGGAATGTGCTGGTGAAGACTACACAGTGATCCGACTCTCCCATCATCACTATAAGATCTTGGTGAAAAAATGAATGCAACTCCGGATGGAAATACATTTTGTGACATTGCATAAGCTTATGGAAACGATGCGACAGTGAATGCGTGCCGTGATCAAAGCTAAAAGTGTACAATGAAATATTAGAGCTTGTGACTTTTGTTTTGGCCAGGCAGTGTATTTTAGTTGTGTATCTGGCTGTGTATGAGCTTGCCATCAGCCTACATCTATTATCTGTATAGCATAGTTAGACTCTAGATGTGCTAGACTCTAGATGTGCTAGTTAGACTCTAGATGTGCTTGATTGATGTATGCTTGTCATTGCTGTATTGTGCGCTGTTGTGAACAATGTTAAAGTGACATTAAACCCTCAGATTTTTTTACATAAACCAATACTGTAATGTGTGCCTTACTGTAATCCATGGTTGTTTCCCTTCTCTTTGCTGCTCCTTTTAAATCCTCATGTCTTCTCATGCTGGGCAGAACTTCCCTTTGCAGCTGAGTGCCTCTTCCTGTAGTGCTGGCTCAGGTTGCAAACCTACACACAGACACCATGTATCAATTTCAGAGACAAGGCAGTCTGCTGCAAAACAGAAGTTCTGCCCAGCATGAGAACAGATACAGATTTAAAAGGAAGAGCAGCAAAGAGAAGGGAAACTACCATGGATTACAGTAAGGCACACATTACAGTATTGGTTTATGTTAAAAAATCTGAGGGTTTAATGTCACTTTAAGGCCAGGGTTGACAGGCTTTGGGTTTTTGGCGATGGTATCAGTGTGACATCAGTTTGTGATGCTTTGAAGATCATTCAGAATTCATGGACAGGTACATTCGACCTGCAGTTGACCGTCGTTCGGAGCTCAATTTCGCCTGCTTTGCATTCATGCAGACTGGGGAATGCAAATCCTGCTTCAAGCAAAACAAGCAGGATTTGCAGTGGAAAGCAAGCACTTTTCATGTCAAGTGTGCCCAGTGCCTTTTTTATGTTTTTGATGCTAGGCTAAAACATTACATTCAATTTAGTTTGTTTTGCAGATCAGTTAGTCTTTTTTCTTTTTCTTATAAGTACAGGTAGTGGTAGAAATTACTGATGTATACATTTATTTGGACATATATGTTCGCAAAAGTATTATCTCCCTGTATATTGCTCAAAGGGCACTTGTGGATGACCTACATAAGAGGTCACCTAACCCTCCCTGTGCCTCTGTCAGGTTTTTATATGGGTAGGGCTCTCCTGTATCCATGTTTGCTTGGCTATTATGCCAAGCAAAACACCTTAGTAGGACTATGCTATTGAGATTGATTGATTGTGCTGCATTTGGCAAAACTGACAAGTGCCAGCCGATGAAACTGGAGCAGGGCAAACAACTCATCCTATTAGTACAAGTCATTGTGTGGATCTGATTGATTTATACATGATTTATGTTTTATTAACCTTCTAATAATAATTATGTTTTTGTTAGAATGATCACTTCTTAGGAAGCAGCATTACAGTTCTTGTATCCTGTTAAGTAATTTGACTTTCTTCACATCCATACATGAAGGAAACACATTTTGAGGGTCTATGAAGAAACTTCCACTTTAATAACCGCAAGGACATAAATTCTGAAGGAAGTGCACTTTGAGACAAACATGTCATAGAAAATTAATCATCCATATTTTTACAAAATGTGGCAGTGACACAAAACTCAGGAGTTCAATCTTAAAATGCATTAATGTACCTTTAGGCTCTGTTCACAACTAGACGTATCGAATATGCGCGTTTGTTTTGTAACGATTCGCAGTAAAAAAACGCGCGACATACGCGCGTTTCCACGGGCTACTTTGCTGTATCCCAATGGAAACGCGCAACAAAGAAGCTCATGTACCTTTTCAGGCATAGGCCGTTTTGTAGCGCGTTCAGACGGGCTGAAATACGGCAAGGTGTGAACCATACCCATAAAAAACAATGGGATTTTCATGTTTGAGCATTTTGTAGAGCGTTTGTAGAGCGTTGAACGCGCTACAAAACGTACAGGTATGAACCAGGCCTAACTATTATCAAAAATGTATCTTATTTGTATATTACGCGGCTGTAGATCCTCCAATCATCTCTGAATTGGTGCTGACACTGTCCTTCCTTCTGGAGGGTGGCTAATTTTGTTCCTCATGGTTCCTGTATATGCTGTAAAATATCAGCCGCTCCAAGCTCACTCCTGTGAAGGACCTCAATATCAAGTTTAGTTTACTCATTTGTATTGAGATTTTAGTCCACCACGGGAGGGAGCTTGGTGAGGTGACTTTACAACACAGGGACCATGGGGCACAAAAGTAGCCACCCTCCAGAAGGAAGTACAGTATCCTCACCAGGGCCATCTTTAAAATTAATTGGGTCCTGGGTAAGATTTTGCTGATGGGCCCCCACAACCCTGCAACCTCCATGACCTACCCCTCACTTCCTGACCCAGACCCCCGTATCTACCTACATCACCTTCCCCCTCCACACAATAAACTCAGGACTCTATAACGCAACAAATTCTGGACTCTGCAACACATTGAATGATCATCGCCTCTGAATGATTGTTTATTCACTTTCAGCATATCCACATTCCCCCTGGTCCTCCTACATTTAGTGTCTACATACATTTTACACATACACTCCTACATGCAGTTATCCCCTACCTCCTTGGCCAGTCTGCCTGCTCATTATCGGCAGCCTGCTCAACCCGTGCACTGTGAAGACGTCCTGCCTCTGACACAGCCCTCACTACACACAGCGGGAGGACAAAGCAAGGCAGCTGCTGTGAGGGGAGCGCACTGCTGTCAACATGCGGGATGCAGTCCCCCGGCCTACTCTGCCCCTGCCACCAATGGTGGTGGTGCTGCTGCTCTTCTGTTTGCCGCTCTGGGCGAGAGCGGCATCTACAGCCGAGTGTTACACACATAATAAAACATTTGTATTAATATTTAAGGTACTTGAATGCATTTTTAAGATTTAGGCCACTTCAATGAACCCCACTAATCATCACACTGCTTATTTCTTGCACTGGTAATAGCCAGTTAATAAAGGAATCTGCAAAGCTGAGCCAACTGGACTAACTGAGCAGAGTTACCAATCATATCTCTTTGACTGAAGTTATGTTTTAAGCACATAAAATAAAGTCTTACACCATTCATTTACATTGGATATGGGAACAGCTTAGAATCCATAGTTACATAGTTACATAGTATTTGAGGTTGAATAAAGACATTAGTCCATCAAGTCCAACCTATTAGGATCTCATTCTAGGAGTACCCGTACCCCTGTATATTACGGTCCCTATGTCAGGTATGTTTTATCTTTTGCTATCTGTGTCACCATTGAGGAGATTTCCCTTCACTTCATGATTCACAATGGTCACCAGGATAAATTTCAAGGATAGATTTCCCCAATCGGCATACAGACAGCGGTAGAAACCCTAATAGTAAATAAAAGTAATTCACCGACACACACTTGAAGGGTTTTTAAAGTATTGATATGTTTATTCAATACCCAATGTCACATACTGTCATACGGTGCTAACGTTTCGGTCCGCACAGGGATCCTTCATCAGAGCGACAGTGACGGTTAACATGCAGGTATAAATACACATCAATCCAGGTGCAAACAGACAGCCCAGGACATCATAACGACGTAATTCCCGACAAAATTCAAAAAGATAGACACACCCACATCAACACAGAAGAATTCTATTAGCATTGTGGTTTTGAGACCGTGGCAGTGCGAATGGGATTTGGACTTTGTTATCAGTAGAAACCAGACAACAGTTTTAACCCTGTCACACTGTATCCAAAAACTAGAAAAAAAATACATTTCTTTAACTTTCATGGCAGCATAATTCACCGGCACATGCATAATAGCAGCTGCTAGAGAATAAGGATGAAGGTCAGTTTGTTGTACTTATAATAGTTCTAATAAACTCTTTCCAAATGCACCTTCCAGTTTACTTTTATTTTTTTGTATGTTGCTATTTATTTTACCAGTTGTGGTTACTGGGATATGTACTTCATGAAATTACACAGGGCATGTGTAGCGCAACCTTCCTCCTTCCACATTGCTGCCCCCCTGCAATTGTTGGCAATTCCTGGCTGCCAAAATGACAGCCGGTAATTGTGTTATGCAGCAGCTATTACATCTGCTGCTGTCAAGAAACTGACCTCTTGTCCCAGAAATCATTGTTAGTTGGTATTTACTCTGTTCAAGTACATCTGTAGGTCAAAGGCAAGGGCTTCAGTCTGCATATGATGTCAGTTAAAAGCTGAACTCCATGATATTATTACATTTTCCACAATAGTTTCCTCCCCTTGCTCAATAAAAACAAATGCTTTTCTTTCATTTATTTCCATTTGAGCATGTGCATTCAATGTATTTTATGCATTTTGTTAACCTGTAAAAGCCTCCCTTGTGTAGACATCAAAAAGCCCTAAAACGTCTGCTGGGCCCCCTGCAATCTTGGCTGTGATGTCAAAACCCCCATTCAAGTGACATTGTATAGTATTTCCCTTCCCTACTCCCCCAGCTGCTCCACGAAAAGTTATGTAGGGATTAGAGGAGTGGTGAAGGAGCTAGGCCAGCAGACACAGCAGTTACACACTACCAAAAAGAGGAGAGGGCTGTGATGTACAAGGATAGAGGGGGCTGTGCTAGGGAATTTACTCTTGCAGGAATAGTCAAGTTTTCTAGCAAGTTTAGAGGCATATTGTAAGTAAATAGAAAATAGTTTATAGGAAGGAAGAACACTGCCATAAGCATTTCAAATACTTGATATTTCTGAGTTCTTTACCTGCATTTTTAGTTTGCGACAGGGCCTCTTTAATGCAGCATCTTCCGTTTTTATAGCATTACCTTACATTTATAATTGGTTTGAATTTTCATCAATGTAACTGCGAGTAGCATGAATTAAATCCTTGTTTATTTCTAGGTCTTCTTGACAAACTCTGCAAACGTTTTCCTGCTGGAGCCATGTCCTGAAGTCCCGTTGCTTTTGGAAGAACAAGTGGAAGCCTGCAAATCCGTTTTAAGTATTTACAGGCGGATGATCATGGACCTTGCAATGGATAAAAAGACCTGGTAAATTTTTACGTCAAATAAATGGATTTAGACCGTGTACTATAGATCATTTATAAGCCAAAACATTGAAATCATTTTTTGGTAGAGTAATTCTGCAATACTGCAGCTTATTTACTCCGCTGCAATGGGATACATTTGGAGATGTCTGAAGTAGAAGACTTGGAAAGCTCTAAAAGACAGTAATGGGTTGCAGCGAGTGTATATTCAGTCTACAAGTCCTCGTTTATCATTTTTGGTTATTTAAACAGTTGTCTCCCCTCGCCTGTTTTGTGAAACACACAGTTCTGTATTATCTACAGTTCATTTAAAGCCATTAAAATAGATGCCAATATGAGTGAGGTGTACTTTGTCAGGTTTCGGACCTTTCTGATGTTTGTTTTCAGTTTGTTCAAATGTGACTGATGATAGAGCAAGGCGCACCACGTTTCTTCTTTTAAACCATTCTTTTCATCAAAGGGATGTTTTTCGAAGCCACCAAGCAACAAACATCTATTTACCACCTAGCAGTGCCAAGTTATCAGGCTTTTATATGTTTCCAAGATGTGTCTTACTGCAGATACTAGACACTAATTCCTGAGCCAACTTCACAGACCACAAATCCTACATTTCCCTATCTGGCCAGTCAGATGTTCATATCAGCTGCCAATTTCCTTAATTTTATTTTTTTTCCCTTCAGAACCTTTTACATTTCTTTTTTTCAAATCCTATTTAAGTTTTCCTTTTGTTAAAGTGCACCAGCTACTAAAGGCTTGTACTCGCAGCCATTTTGTAGGCCAACCTGTATTGGAAGGATTTGCTTATGCTGTATACATTATCTATATGGATGGATTTTTTAAACAGAGTATGGACATGAAAAAATAAATGGTTTCCTGTATGCAGAATTTTGGGTGTGGGCCATTCAGGTCAACTGAATGAAATCCTTAAAGCCCATTTCCACCTTAGCAGAGGTATTTAAAAAAAATCATGCCAGCAATGTACACCAAGTGTACATGAAGCAGACATATGCAGTTGCTGTATATGAACACAGAAACTTACATTTTTTGTTAGGTTTTCTCTTTCTATCCTCATGGAAATAAATGCCTCCTGTTTAGCAATACTGCATACCGAATGTACTATACAGTACTGCTCTTTTCTCTTAAAATCTCAGTCTGGTCAAACTGATTGAAAGGGTGAATCTCCCTAACAGGGATCCAGACAGCAATAAAAACCTGACCGGTGTTCTAATCCCTCTTCACTGTATCCACAATTGAAATAAAAGTTGCAATTCAATAGCCCATTAGCAGAAATGCTGATTACATTTTCTGTTGTACATTGGCTATAGTTATGGTGAATTCTGTGTATAAAATACAGCCTTGAAAACATGGAACAGCAAGAATGTAAAATGTAAAAGTGAATAGCTCAGACTGCCGTCCTCTTCATTTTACTAACAGATCTTTTGGTTTGGTTGCACAGGGAGCAGATGCTGCAGATACTGCTGAGGATAACAGAAGCAGTTGTTCAGAAACCAAAGGAACCCTCAAAAAAGGACTTGTTTTCTCAGGATCTCGCTGGTGTTTTATTCCGGGTAGGATACACATATTGGGTGTCTTATCTCAAACCTTTCTTCAGAATAGTTTTCAAGCAGCAGACCTGGAGGCATCATTTTTTAGTGCAAAATATTTTCCTAAATAAAGATCCATTCTGCCCCATACCGGTCACATGGATTCAGTAATCCAATGTAATAAGATAAATAAAATCTGATTATTTCTCTCCGATGGTCGGCTGCTGGCAATACAGACTGTTTTATTGAAGACTTTTCTAGTGAGACATGTTCTCTTTTTTTTTAATGAAAAATGTATGATTTTTTAAAGGAGAATTATGGGGAGAGTGAAATGCACTCATCCGCATAATTAGAGCCGACGTGTGGCACTGCAGATGTCACACGCAGGCTCTATAGATTAGAGCAATCCACTGATCACTCAGTTCACAATCTTCTCCCTGCAGAGAGCAGTGGCTGTCGGTCTCCGCTCCACACAGGGATTCACCCTCCCCTCTCTGCTCCTCCAGCACTGAATGGAGGAATGGACTGGGGAGGGGGTGGGCAGGCAGAGCCAGCTGTCTGTCA